GAGGTTTAATGTCTTGGAGCTCATACCGGACGGGGTATGGGGACGGCCCTGGAATTAAGATTGTTAATGGAAATGGTTCATGTATAGCGGGGTACCCCTATGGATCTTCATGGATACTAGTAGGCTGATAAAAAAGGGCAATTGTTGTTTGATGATTTGAATATAAAAGTATAGTATGTGTTATGTTGCAGATTATATATGAATTCATGATATTTATAATGTTATTGTTTCCATATGTTTTTTTTATAAATCTCACTGCGGTAAGTGGACGGTAAATAGTTTTATTATTGATAAATGAATTTGTTTAAAATTTGTGATCATTGGTTGTTTTTGGTTTTTCTACCAACTTTTAGTTCTGTGACGGCGATATATTGTGATGTTCTTACTGGAGTAGTGTAGCTCACCTCTTATTTAACCATTTCAGATCAGGAGGACCCGCTTCTCGAGCCCGATCTGCAATAAGGTTATAAGTAGACCCTAGATATTTATTAGTTTCCTTTATTTTTTCCGTTTTTCGTATTTTCTTCAGAAAATTTATTTCGTGATGTTTGTTAGTACTTTTGAGTTATCGTGTAAGGGATGTTAATTTTAACTTTTATTTCGGTTCCGTACTAAAATTATTTTATACAATTCTTTTTAAATTTCCAGGACCGTTACACCATAGACTGGCTAATGTATTTCACATGAATTCGAATTTGACAACCATTTTAGTTTGAAACCGTCCAACCAAATAGAAATCATAAGATTCACGGGGGTTCAGTGCAATATCAACAATATCCTAGCCACCTTCTTCTACATCTGTTATTGTGAGTGTGGCCAAAGCCGACTCCTCCATGGTGGGTCATGGTGGTTCCCCAATGTCAGTTACAAAGAACATGCCAAAGGGCAGACCTTAAGAGACATACGTGCCAAATTGCAGACTACTTAGTTTTCTTTTTAATCTTACTACATGATTTGATCCTTTCATAATACCTCATACTTAAATTAACTTTCACTTTTCATTTTCTTGATGTTTTAAAGTTCACTTCATTTTCCTTGAATATTTGTTGTACTTGGAATGTCAAGAGTGTGTTAGTTTACATAAATATAAAATTAACTATTGCCAAATATTATTTTGTATTTATCATTGAATTTTAATTATGTCAAAATATTATTTTAAATTATATTTTATTTTGCTTAATGTTTAAATTTTAAATTAACTATAAAATTAATGGAGAAACAAAATTGGAAGCTAAATAAACGGATGATCTCTTAATTTTGAGGACAAAAAGATTAAAGACAAAAATAAAAGTAAAAATTAGGAACCAAATTTATAACAATTATAATTGTAACCCTAACAAAAAAAAAATATTTAGACTCATTTAATATTATTTTAAGTAAAATTTTAAACTTTTTTAATATGTAATATTAAAATATAATTTACAGATTGATTGAAATTTTTTTATTTTGTACGAAATTAATTAAAAATATCTCAAATATAAAATAGAGATTTTTTAAATATTCTTTTCTTAAAAAATTATTATTTAATACTTTATTAGACATATTATACCATTATTATTATTAAAAAAATTCTTAAATTGTTTATTTTTATAATTAATTTTGAAATTATTTAGTTTATTTAATAAATTCAATTTGCTTTTAGACATCAATTAATGAATTTTATATTTAATATATGTAATAAGCATATATTACTTTCTTACTCGATTTTTTTAATTATGAAAACATTACAAATAATTTATTATCATAAAATTATAATATTAAATTTATGGTCGGTTACAAAATTCTTTTGCGTATTGTTAAGAAAAAAGTGAAGGGAATTCTCGTTTTACATGAAAGAAACAAGCACGCATTAAATATATTTTGTTAGTAAAATAATAGTAAAGTTCTATAAATAATAAACAAACTGAAGTAAAAACATCAAAGAGAAGAAAATGGGTAAAGGTGTGATTGTCAGCATCTTTGCTTCTTCTTGTAGTGCCTGTGGAAGCCCAAAGTT